ATTTCTCGTTACGTGCTTTGTGGTGCTGCTGTTCAAGTTTCCATACAAAATTTGACAATGACATTTCGGACTCGCATACTATTCGAATTCGATAATAGTGCGTGCTAGGGATACTGATGTGACAGGTCTGCGACGTTCGGCTCTACATAGAGGGCTCAGGTATGGTGTGAGTACTTCACAAGGTGTAAGGTAGTCCCCCGTATGTTAATCTACCGCGCACGAGTAAATGCAAAAACCCCGCCTGGGGTTCCCCTAATATTAAGAACAACGAGTTCCAACTTGTTCAGCGATGCTATAATATACAGCACACGACTTTTAAAGGTTTCGTACATCAAAAGCAGAAATTTTGTTGTTCGAAAATTCCGGAAAATTTTTAAAACTTCTTTTTTACAAACATTTATTATGTTCTCCCTTTTGTTCCCAACCCAGAGTGGGGTTAACAAACTTTTTTTTTCACTTTATACAGTTTAGGAAGCCGTAAATATTTAAATATTCGTACTTTTTTTTATAAGAAACGAATTGGCACAACAAATAAGTTGCAACACCATGGTTAACGTACGTAAATGCATACTTAATTTAGCTAATTTTAAAACTGTAACCATGTCTAAAGAGGGAAATGTAGCTACAATTTATAAGAAATACTAGCAACTGCATGCGACTTCGTCTGCATTATACTTAATTTTTGAAACTCCCACACAGGAACCTTAAATTTTTACGGGGTAAAGTGTCCTATGTCACAATCAAGGTAAGCAACTATACGCGTACCTACAAAATTTCATCTTAATCCGTTCAGTAATTTTTGCTTGATTGAGTAACAAACAAACATACAAACTTTTACATTAATTTATAATATAAAGATGAAGTAGTATATACTGAAATATTTATTACATAGTAAACTAATAGATTTGTTGTGATACCACAGTCACGGGATCCTGTGACAATTTTAGGTGTCTTTTTATTTCCGTTCAAGAAACAGACATAGATCTACAGACATTAGACCGTTTAAGAGATAGATAGATCCCTGTGATAGACATGAAGAAATAAGAAACATATCAATAAATTCCGGGTTATCACCCTATGCAAACGACCCTATGAAATTTTGATGCTATATTAACAAAGTTGATACTTAAAACTTCAAGAAAATCAAGAATAGTTAAGACCATTGAAGCGCTTTATTAAAATTCATGATCTTTTAATTTTTGAGCGAGCGTTGCGAGCATTCTTCGAGCTACAACAATGTGAGCTTGCTGCTTTGTTAGCTCGAAGCGACTGCCGTGATAGAAGGCATTACGGATTCTTTGCGAGAACTTCTACGTTCCAATTACTCAATTATGCAAATAAACTTCCGTAGTGTTGGTGCAATCAAAAGCATTTCAAGTTATGCAAAACAGTTTTTCGATCTTACCAAGCTTAATATACTTTTAAGATGAACTTTAAAAAGAGTTGAAGAAACCTCTACTGCTACGACGATTGCTTTAAATTTGAATCATAAAGAATCTTCAGCTCCTGAATTAGAATTGCGGGAAACAAAAAATAACAAGATAATTAATAAATAAGGAACATTCAAAACATATTTATGAATTATTAATACTAGAAATGTACCGTAATAGAAATTAAATTAATACAATTGGGGGACTGCGCATGTACTGACTTTTTGATAACTGCATCGTAATCGTCATATCCAATGCCCATCCTTTTTAAGTTTTTCTTTTTATGTCTGGAAAATGCGTGACGGTAACACTGGCTCACTCGGAAGAAGGGTGAAAAGGGCTCCGAGGGCTCCTCCCTGTCATTACATCCAGCTCGTGGACTCAATGAAAAGCCTGGGCCCTACCCAGTAAAAACCAGACAATACCCCTGCACAGGTCACCTGACACGCTCTCTGAGGACTGGTCCCAACGATATTAAATTTCCTAGATACATCAACACGAACAAAATCATGCCCGAACCTGTCGAAAAGGTACATTGGACGATCCACGAAGCTCCGTAAGATGATCGCGTAGTCTTAACAATATAAGGCATTATTTAAACATTAAAAATCACCTTTTAATTATACTACAAAAGGTCTTAATTAAAACACATGCGTCATTATGTTAAAAAAGGATTATGTGGCCAGGACTGGCCACATAACTTTAATGCCGAATAGGAATAATAACAAGCGGAAGTATAAACTTCCTAAACAACTTCGTAACTTTTTAATAATTTTCGATTCTTCAATCGTTAAAACAAGAATCTGTCATTTTGACGAGACATAAATTCATTGCTCGTTGCTTCCTCACCCGTATCATAAAATACATTTTGACGCTGTCAATTTATTAAAATATTTTTAAAGGTATTGTAAAACACGTCCAAATTTATTTAACATAATACTCACTTGACATATCATAGACCCTTTTCAGGTGAGCTTTTTCGGGAATCTGGAAACAGCAAAGTGTTCATATTTTTAATCATTCCTAAATAAAGAATAATATATGAAATATCTGATTAAATTTCTTTGTGTTAATGTGAATTTCTGTCTATTTTGACTTTATCTCTATTATATCTACTTCTCTATCATCATCATCAACCCATGCTCGTCCACTGTTGGACATAGGTCTCCCCTAATGCACGCCACTGCTCCCGATTTTTTGCCACTCTTATCCAGCCCACTCCAGCCAGCCTACGAATGTCATCATCCCATCTTGTCTAAGGCGTCCTACACTACGTTTACCGAGTCGTGGTCTCCACTCAACTTTTCGGCTCCAACGGCCGTCAGTTCTGCGGCTTATGTGACCAGCCCACTGCCACTTCAGTTTGCTAATTCGGTGGGCTATGTCGGTGACTTTGGTTCTCTGTCAGATTACATCATTCCTGATGCGGTCCTTGAGGGATTCTCCGAGCACAGCCCTTTCCATAGCTCTCTGAGCAGCTTTAAACAGGTGGACTCGTCCAGCCGTGAGTGTCCACGTCTCGGCGCCGTATGTCATAACTGGGAGGACGCACTGGTGACTTTCGACTTGAAACATTGAGGGATGGCTGACGATGGGTACTTTACTATAAATCATCTAAATAGGTCATCTTCAAGAAATAAATATATTTATTTGGCAAACATCAATCTTGTTGACTTTAAAACAGAGCGCGTTCGCTAACTACATAAATTACTACAAGCAAATTAATCGACACTGACATTGATCAAATGCTCCTTTGTGCATTTCTGTTGAGTAACAGGCGTCTATTTAACACCACGGGTTGTATTAAGTACTCTCGAGGCAGCTCAATCACGATTGTTAAAATGAGACGTTATTCAAAATGTACAGTAGCATCTCGCTTCCATTGCTACTTTTGGCTAACGTCGAGGTATGATGGTATATACCTAGAACTCTCAAGTGATCTCAAGGTTTAAATAAAGGAACTGTACCCATAGCACGAACCAATATCGAATTCGTATCGTTTGCAAGTACACAATGACATTGTCCAATGTGGTATGGATTTTTAGTTCTCGTTGCGTACATCAAGGCGCTGCTTTTTAAGTTTTCATATAAAATTTGATAATGACATTTCGGACTCGCAAACTTATCGAATTCGATAATGGTTCGTCCTAAGGCTACTGAATTGAATGAAATGATTCTATTACAAAGAGCTTGTCATAATTTATCAATTAGAATTTCTTATTTAAAATCTGAACAGTTACAGTTACAGCATTTTACGTAACTTTTAAGGGTTCCATCGCCTAATATTATAAATGCGAAAGTATTTATATCTGTCTATCTGTTACCTGTCGCGATGGCATCTGAAAATCGTAAAACCCACCAATCCGGCCGATGATAATGATATATTGATTTTCAACTTGCAGTTACCTATCATTCATTGACCTTAAACTTAATTACAGCTATTTTTGTTTACATATTATTTTTGTTTTTAAATAAAAATCACTTACCTTCTATTATTTATATATTAAGCAGGTTGATAAAAATGCAAAATAAAAGTAAAAAATAAACCACCCAAATCACTAATTCCACGCGGAATTCCAGTTATAATCGGAACACTAGTAGCAGCGAAAGCGTAAGGTTGCTTATTATAAGTTCTTCGTGCAGAAAGTATAATTTTATCAAACTGTAGTGCTGTTTTAGAAAACATCAAGACAATCGATATCGATGTTACACTCTTATTGTATATTAGCGGCCCGCGACTTCTTCCACGTTAACTGTAGTTTTTTGAGAATCCTGCAGTAATCTGACATTATTACCTACCTGTATGCGTAACAAATTTCATCTAAATCCATGCGATAGTTGTTGCTGAATTGAGTTTAGACATACAAATTTCACATTCACAGTATTACTAGCGGCTGAACTTTACTTTTTTGAGACTCCCCCAAGAACCTACAATTTTTTTACGGCATGAAAAGTACCCTATGTCTCAATTCAGGTAACAAACTATATGCATGCTAAATTTCATCGATATCCGTTCAGCCGTTTTTGCTTGATTGAGTAACAAACATATAAACTTTTAGATTCGTAATATTATTAGAAGCATGCATTACTGCCACAAATAGCATAAATTAAAACTTGTGCGGTCGGCAATGGTCGGACGTATGATGGGTGACCAAAAATTTTGTATCTCTAGGTCCTCCGTTCTTTGATAGGGATATTAAGCTGTTAACACGCATTTAATTTCTGTTTTAATATTAAATTAGGATTAAAATGAAAATTATTGTAGCAAAAATTGATTTCTGGAGGTGGGCGTTAATAACTGCGACACAGTTTTATAAGTAATACAGTTATTATCGATCACTATTGTCATTGTATCTTTGCTATGGTTTTAATAAATATTTCATTTCATTTCATTTCAAACTTGGCTGTATCTTCAACCAGTAACACCCACCAATCTGCACCGTGTCCGCATGGTTAACCCGCATTCGACCTGTTCTCCCTATTCCATCCATAGAAAAACTCGCGTCCCAGCAGTGGGCATTAATTATGCAAACATTAATGTGCCAATGATAATCCAAGCATCCGTTCCAGTCGGTGTCGGTGACGGTGTCGGTGCTGACGCTGACGTTCATCAGCGTGGACCGCTGGTACGCCATCTGCTTCCCGCTCAAGTTCAAGTCCACCACCGGCCGGGCCAAGACCGCCATACTTATCATCTGGCTTTTGTCGCTGCTGTTCAGTAAGTACACTGAGGCTTACGTTTTCATTTCTCTCTCTCTTATGTTGCATCTTCGTCGAGATTCGATGTCGCAATAAAACTTTGACTTCGATTTACGACGACGTGATATATTGTATATGTCGTAAGATAATTTGATAAATCGAATTTTTACAAAAGTTTTAGGGATTTTAAGATAATAGACAATAGTGATGACATTAATAATTGTCAATCTTACTGAAAAAAGATAAGATTTTTGAAAAAACGCAAGTCACCTCAATTAAATTTCAAAAAGACTCGTTGGCTTATCATAAATATTCTTGGGTTTTTGGGTTCTTGGTATCACACTAGGTCGTCGTGACCATGACACGCAAACCGAGCGAGGGTACCGCGAGAGCGGCCGACAAAGCGGCAGAAAAAAAAATCGTTTACAGTATTTTGTTTAATTTTCTCAACATCCCAAGGATTTTTGCGAAAATTCGATTTATCAAATTGTCCTATGATATACCCAGAACATACCGTTCATGTAAGCAGGTTTTTTTTTATTTCTCTTTTTGTGGTTTGGGTCAAAAAACTCAATCAGTTCGATAAAATAGCAATCGGAACAACTGTAGGAACAAAAAACTATTATTAATTTTTTGGCTTCAGTCTTCTTGTTATTATGGTAGAGGAGCTACCTATCTTTTTGGCAGTCACCTTAACAAAACTAAAAATTAACTATACAGCAAATAAACAAAAGCTATTAATGTTAGTACCTTAGTTCGGGGTTTACTTTTAATATGACAACATCTTTCAATCAATTCCAACAATAACTCAGCTTCGAAAACAAATAAGATGTTTTAGCTTAGATGTACGATAAATTCTCATATCGACCTCTGACGATGTTGCTAAGGGAAAAATATGTCATGATCAGTGTCACAAAGCCTTTTAAATAATTCTTAACGACATCCACTCCATTGTTTTGTTGTTCCCTTTTCGTTTCGAAGTCGCTGAAAACAGAATTTATTAGCTCTTTAGTGTAGAACAAAAGAATGATGTTGTTTGGTGCTCTTATTCACACAGCTTAAAACTTCCGAGAGATGTTTGAAAGTATAATACTGAATCGCAAAAGTTTTTTTTTGTTTTGGGAATATGAAGAAAGTTATCTCACACCAAATATTTCATAAGAGAGCACAGCAGATTTTGCTGGTACTTGAGTTGTAATTTTGTGTTGTGTGTGTACAACTCAAATACTAGCAAAATCTGCTGTGCTCTACCTCTCTTATATAGCCACTCAGATTTGCTAACTAAGTAAACTAAGTATGTGAAGTATTTCACTCACGGAGGCCCTATTTGTTTGATTAGAGTTTCCGTTGGTTAGTCAATATTGAATTATTACAATAATTACTTAAAATCCACCTATATTATTAAGGTTTGTGAACAGAGGCGAAAAAAAATCTGCTTGTATGAAATTTTAAAGAAAATTTGTCATCGTGAAAAACTTTAGGTAATGAATGACACGTTCCTGGCAGATATACCAGAATTCGTGATGCTGCAAGTGCAGAGGAAGATGCAACTACGATTCAACGTGCAGTACTTCATGCAGTGCGCTTCTACTTGGTCGGACGACAGTGATCTCAAATGGCATATAATAAAGGCGCTTTTTCTTTACACGTAAGCTGGCACATAATATTTTCAACGTTTGAATGGTTTATTTATATCTGTGACTTTCTTTGTATGATCAATTTGAATAGAAAGAAGTATGTTTGTATAACTTTCAACGTATCTAAAGGATATATTTCCTTTAATAACTTCTAAAAGGTATTTTGTTATCTTTGTAACAAAAATATCTAAATTTTGGTTGAGAAATAGTATATATATTTCGCACAGAGAAGAAAGTGATCGATTACCAACGAGGGTGTAGTTCCGAGGCGTAGCCTCAATGCACCCCAATTAGAAATAGGACTTTCTTTCGAAGGATACAAAGTACTTTAAGTATAAAGCACTTGTGTAGTAACACACACTGCGAGGAAATAAAAGAAAAATTCTTTGATTTTTTATAATAAAATTGTTACAGTTACAATACTTTTGTATGGGAGCTTTATATTGGTTTTTTGATTCCACAGGTAAAGGTTCTCAATGAATTCTTAGTTGTTTTAATTCTGGCGGTGTCAATAAATCTTATCAGTAATATACACCGTCCCGAGTAGATAGAAAAACAAATTAAAAACTCAGTTAAAATAAAATAACCAGCGCGCATTTTTAAACTTTTTGTTCTTTTTACTAAATAAATTCAAAAAAGCAAACAGTTTAATGTTAGAAAAATAGATTGCTTAGTCTGCAAAGTCATACTGAGCACTTTCTGGAACATAAATTATGTAAAAAATAACAGAACGTTTAAAAATGGATTACCATACACATTGCCAGTCCGTTTAGTAGTACAACAGTAATGAGGTCCTTTTTGCTTCAGTTTTAAAACAAGAATAAAGCACTTTCCGAGCAGGTGTAGTATAAAAGATAATACTTACTCTGTAGATCTTAAGCCATTTTCGGTAAAACATTTAACTAACAACATTACTTACATAGATAAAGAAATGGTTTTTCATCTTTAGGTTCCCTTTGCTGCTGATGATGATTGCCTACTGCCAAATCGTGAGGGTTCTCTGGAGGTCAGACAACATACCAGGACACACTGAATCCCATAAGCTATGCACAACACCAACTGGTCAGAACAATTGTAAGTATATCATTGAAATGTAACAATTTCATAATAATCGTTGTTATAAAAACTTCTTGCTTACAAAGAATTCAGAATCCTCTTTTTCAGCGAATTCATCCATCTCTGTTATTCACTTAAAAATAGCCCAAAGGAATTATATATACGCATTGACTTACTTGAATTTAATATTTGCAAATTTCAAAGAAGGGACAATAAATAAAAGCTTCGGCTTATTTGAATAGGAGCGTTTATACGTTATACGATTATGTTGACACTTCTGTTATTGTGGACGTTAATTTATATCCCTTTAAAGTTTCTCGCTGATTTATTTGTAACATAAGTTTTATAAACACATCCATGACTTACGAAAAAACAAAATTATAATATTCAGTAGCGATTTTATTGAATTTCTTTAATGTTATATAAATACGAATCCCGTCTCGATTTACATCCACTGACGAACTAAAGTGCGCATAATATAAACTAATTTTAGCCGAGTCGAAGACTTTTGTGTAAAAGATAACAGAAGAAAAGATTTTACTATCAAAATACATTTTACTATCAAATAACTTAAGGATTTGTAGTTGTATGCATTAATTTCAACACTGCATTTTTTTCTATCAAGGGTTAGCTGTGAACCGTCGTACAGCGCCATCTATCCACGCAAATGCATCAACTGAAGGGCAACTGCGATCCAGACGAAAGGCTGCTAAAATGCTAGTAGCAGTCGTAGCTATGTTCGCTGTTTGCTATTTTCCAGTACATCTACTATCTGTATTGAGGTAAGAACCTTTAACATTATCAAACAAGAAAAAACAAACATCACAGTGAACTTCCTATTCCCTTTCGATAGTTCCAATCAAAAGCATAAAACTTTATACTGAAAAGTTTTACCAAAGTTCCCGATTCAGCCATTCAACAAAACTACAAATCTTACTGCTCTTTACTACACCTCTGAGGAAAACCCATAAAGTTCTTGCGGCCCGATCCGATAAAAATCCCTAGATAATTCTCATGTTACAAAAATAAGTCATAAGTCTTTCTTGAGGTAAATCTGTAAAATTTATATAAAGTTTGAAAGCTTTTTGTTACCTTTAAAAAGTATTGTATTTTATTTTATGGCCTATTAGTATTGAATTTCAATTAAGTCTTTATTATAGACTAGTTAGAATTACAAAAAACACATAATAAAGAAGAGAGTCGATGTTAAATAACATATCTAAAGTTTTATCTTATGTGCAATAAGCAGATTGTGTTAACTCCACATAAAATTGGGAACTGGGTGGATCAATATGAATAGCAGACACGCAAATTTAAACACTGAAGAATGAATCCAATGTTTTTATATGAATAAAATTCATATGAAAAATAGATTGTCCGGCCTTTTTAGGTTCTTGGTTTAATCAAATCTATATCAATGCATTTCTATTTATATCGTTGCTTTTCTTAAAATTAGATTAATAAATCTAAAAAAAAACTAAGAAATATACCATTCAGTCTAGGAATTGGTGTTATAGTACTTCTTTCAGGCTAAAAAATACTAGAAGAATTCGACACAGTCATTAAGACCTCGGTAAGATTGTTGGTTAGTGAGTCGACCCGGTCTTGTCCAGCCTTATACCTGAACTGAGTAGAATTCTTGTTATTGTAGTATACAATGTATATATACTTACGTTGTTTCTCATTTTGTCTCCCTAAGGGTGGCATACGATGTGCAGCAAACTGATGTCATGACCTGTATTGCTCTCATCTCCCACGTGATGTGCTACGCCAACTCTGCCGTAAACCCGCTTATCTACAACTTTATGAGCGGTAAGATCATTTAATTCAGCCGTTTCATTTTTAATTTTATAATTATTTGAATCAAAATGTTGTTAACATTACAAGCAGTTGATATTTTAATATTTTGAGTATTCTTCTGTTATATTTTTTTTTATGTTTGGTCACATAAAATAATCATCACAAGGCACTCATCTAATAAATATTTAGTTATTAGATGAGTGCTTTGCGTCGTATATAAATATAGTAAAAATTTTAAATCTTATTTCGGCGATGTTAATACTATTTATATATTACTCATTTACTTTAGTATCGAAACAATGATTCCTTACTAGGTTACGTACCTGTAATTTTAACTTTCACTACAATTTCTTATTTTATTTCGAGTAAAATTTAAGTATATGTGCATTGCTTTTACGACATTTTTTTGTTAAGGAATAAAAAAGTAGTATCTGGATGAATTTACAAAAAAGACTATTTCTTCCAAGTTTTCAAATTCAAATTTTGAACAGGTGTTTGTGTAACAGCATCAATATATATATTAGTTTACCCAAAATTCTCCGTAAGCACCTAACGCATTCATACTAGTACCGGTTATTGTATACTATAAATCATTGAATGAATTTTGTGAACAGATAGATAGAATTAGTCTCCCTTTGTAAGCCTCGGATTCATTAGAATTTTAATGAAGTACAGTTTGAGCGGAAAGGATACGATTTAAAGACTAAAAGGCTATCAAAATGGTAAAAACGTTTCAAAGCGTCTATGAATTCTAAAAGCTTTTTCAATAGCGGTAATATTTTGTCATATTCATAATTAGTATTCAATAAATACTGATCAAAACTTGTTGAATCAGATTTCTTATCTTAAATTATATAAATTTGTCCAATACCGTCGTTATTCTTGCGTTTAATGTCAACCACTCAAATTAAATTAATATGGCTATTTTAAAGTATTATTACAGAAAATGGGTAAAGAATAAAGATGATGTTTGTGCTAAGTACGTATCTCTATACTCACAGTCGTCTCTTCTTTATATAATTACACATTCTTATGGAGCCCTATAAAGAGACTTATACAACACATAGGTGACTTACATAGCTCTAAGCTTGGCACCTATAATCTGACCTCAGCAAAAGTAACTTTAATATTATTTATGCTATGTATAATAACAATTAATATAATATTATAGCTGTGCTCATATTTTTTTCGTGATAAACAATTTATTATTTATTATTAAATTCAAAACAACGTTCTGTTATTTATTATTAAATTCACGCAAACTCTGACGGTTATCATAAATTGATGATTTTAATTGAAATTATCAACCGTGTCGCTCCGTCAGATGACAATTATTTATCATTTAGTTATTTAACAGACATTACATCGACATAATATTCTACTCGCCATTGAAATAATGAATCTAAGAATTTATAAATGAAAATGGTTTAGGTTCCTATAAAATAGTTATTTATCATAATAAATGCACACAATAAATTATGTTTTAAATATTTATATAAATAAAAATCAATTTACTAATTTCCTTGCTATAAACAGGAAGCATATTTTTTTCGAAAACATAAATTATTTATATATGAAAACTGTGAGTTCTAGACAATTTAATAAATAATAAAAACAACATAAATAAATCTGATATGTGTTGAGTAGTCACGTGGAATTGGAAATTTAATAACAATAAATAAATAAAATTTATTAAAATTTTTGGGAGCATCGACTTGAAAAATATATTTAACGCTACTTAATAATATTTGTAATGCACTTATATGATAAAATGGTAATAAATCCAAAATAACAGATTAAGTCTTTAAAAAAGACAAAACATTACTGGTAAAATTTTATAAAATAATAATTCTATGAAATATATATACAATGTTGAATGCAGAATGGTATTTTTGTATTTAGAAGGCACTTTGTAATACCTGAGATTTATTTCTTTTTGCATCAATTTGCATACTCCCGTATAACTTAACATAATATGTTCGCCAACAAAAAAATATACACAACGGTAAGAAAATTCCGCATAACAAATATGATAATATATTCCTGAGTTTCATTTAAATATTTATGTTCTTATAAGGAAATTTAAGGCTTGTTAAAACGAATTTTAAATGCAACACAACACTCTTGCTTTAATGACGACTCACTTCGCGCTCAATACAACAATCTATATGTTTTTACTACTTCTACTACAAATATATAAAATTATAAACAGTGATATTAACTGATATTGCAGAAGCTGCCAGAAAAGCGAAGGAGATAGTATTTTTCGAAACAATAAAATGTTTATTCGTCAAAATATTCGAGATATATGATATTTTTTCATCTAGTCTAATACAATCTGAGAGTTAATCAATATTACTTATAATTATCTTATTCGTGTACTAAGATTAACCTAAGATAGTGACACTATTTTTCATCCCTGAAATTCATTTAGAATGCATAACTAAAAAAAATAACAGTTGTAGTATGTATTGTGATGCTACCAAGTCAAAACCTTATCTAGTCATAAAACTGCCTAAAAATAATAATAAACAAATATTTTTAACACACGACACCAATTAGCCTACCCCAAATGAGAGGCTAGTGTTATTCGATACTAGGGTAAAGAATAGAATACATATACTCATACTTATATCAATATATTTTTATTGAGAAGTACATATAAACACATCCATGGCTTAAGACAAAATAAAATTACAATATTCAGTAGCGAATTTATTGAATTTTTTTAATGTTATATAAATACGAATCTCGTCTCGATTTACATCCACTGACGAACTAAAGTGCGCATAATATACACTAATTTTAGCTGAGATCAAGAGAGCTTTGAACATCGAAACATACCTAGATTACATTGCTTCTTTAGGATCATATAATGCTTATTTATTGTACGAAATCATATCGTAATACAAGACAAGTACCTTTAAAATAAGTTTTTATTATAATTATTTTTTTAACCATCCACTGTGTTCATTTTATGTAACACTCTTTGAATGCGTAAGAAAAGAGTATACAATTTAATATAGAAATGATAAAAAGCAAGCACTGTGATGGTAGTGATCGCGAGAATTTTCGTTCTAGGTCCTAGGATTGACCACAGACCAAGATTTAAGTAGACGCCACATGTATTTCAAATTTTATGAAAACCGAGCTAGCCAGATTTGAACTCCTCACGAGAACAAATATAAGTGGTGGAAAAGCATGGGTCCCGGTCACCTATTTCAATTATATCGTTTTCACGGCTTTATAACGATATGGTTACATATTTTTATACATTACGCTTGCCACCCGGTATTGAGAACGGCAACACGAAGACACTACATAGATATACATACACTTGCGATATCTATTTCGATCTATGTCTGTAGTAGTGATGCTGGATGCCAGGGAAAGCACACAATTAGTTACTCTAACCGTAGCCAACTGGAGAAGAGCCTGGTATCTGTCATCATTTAATCTAACATTTTTAAGATATCAAATCTTAAAAATGCTATATTAGGAATTTACCTGTACTCCCTTCCTCCCAGTTTGAGGTTCTTTAGAATATCGCCTTTCTGATCCCATTGGCATTGTTAAGGACAGTGAGCTGTGGGAGCAATATGACGATCTTAAAATTCAAGCCAGCAGTCAATTCGCAATGCCTTAACTCTTTAACTCACTAATATTTGAAGCCGGGCTTAGGTATAACTCGTAATGTATGTGACAGTGGAAAAATCAAAAGGCGGTCATTCGTGATGTCAATTAACTGCGAAAAAGCGCCAAGCATCTTTATGAAAGTTTCCGTTAGCTCCCTGTCATATTTGTACTTCAATAATGGGCTCACAACACCAAAGTTCTAGTAAGCGATTATAAATAAATAATTGCGAGGGGCACACTTAAATTTGTTTCGATACTGAACTGTCAACCAAACAGGCTATGATTGCTTTGTAAAATATACGCATTTGTTTTTGTTTAATTATAGGTAGTTGTAACAAATAAGCCTTCTCTTTATTATTATATTCTGCAAAGATTCTGCAGTACATTTTCGTTATTCCATCTGCTCAAAATTGTTTTCAGTGCTGTTTTCTTTTTGTCTTCTCTTGGTTTGCATTATTTCCATTAGTGACTCTCGTGGTGCTTAAATTGTGATAAATACGCCATTCAATTATTTTGCTTGCAGGATTCCCAGGGTTTTCAGGTCAGTAAGGAATCCGGCCCGTGTCCCCAGTGGAGTTTGCTACACCGAAACGATTTTAACACAACTCATCCCGTGTCTACCGATATACCAAAACTTTACCCGAGAGAGCTGTAGTTAGTCCCTTCGAACAATCTGCCAAAATCAGCATGACAATAGCTTGGAAAGCTGATTTGTTTGTTTGAGAAGTTCATGCGTTTTAAAAATATTTATGGTAGCTTAATGTTCAACTAGGTCAAGTTGCTGCTACCATATCAATAAATAAACAATTAAATAAGAATTTCGAACACACACCAATTACAACAATCAATGTAGGCATGAATGAAGGGAAGACGTCTACAAGCTATTAATTATTAAACTAGATCCCTTTAATAAGAGGACATTCAATAACTTGCTGAAATTGGGTGCCAGCGATTTACACTCCAAAATGATAGACCGACACAATTCATTAACTGAGCCCTAAATAGTGGGAGACGACATTTGAGATAATAGGGGTGATGACGGGGTACAGTAAACGAAATTCTATTTAGTCCATCAGTCAGATGATCAAAAAATAATGAACACGTTTTTTTCTTTGGGCAATCAACCAAAAAATGACAAAGTTATGGCGCGTCAAAGTTTGGGAGTAGGGGCTCGTGAAGTCACTTTTAAGTAAAAATTGTACCAAAACGTGACTTCATGCGACTTTACAAATCAATATATCTCAGCAATGTTTATATTATGTGAAAAAAGAAAAAATACGTGTCCAATACTTTTTGATAATCTAACTGATAAATGAAGAAAAAAAAAATAGTCATCATCCCTATTATTGCCAAGTATTTATTTATAAAAGGTTAATGAAATATTATAACTTTCTCAATTAAAAATTAAAGGTTGCATGTCAATTGCACTTGCAGAAGCAATTTCATAAACTGATGACAGGTATAGAAAAATAGTTATTTGAATTTTCTGTATCGGCAATATCTTTTGATAGAATAAAAATAAAAATACCAATTTCACGACTGTTGTTAGTCGATCGATTATATTACTCCAACATACATAACACAAAAAATAAACAATGAATAATTTTACTAAATACCAAAAGACATAAGGAATTTTTTTCGAGATCAATACGAGTCAAGCCCTAAAGCTATATAATATATTAAGTATAATTGTTCTTATCTAAATTTAGTTTTAACAGACTTTGATAATTTTTTATTGTGATCTTTTTCCGTTTTTTAGGGTAAATTAATCCAAATTTTACTATTCACAAGGCAATATTTAAACGAATTGTGAGAACATCTTTCAAAGGAAGCGTGATTGACTAAAACCGTTTTAACATTTTATATCTAAAGTGGATCTGAATCTTCAACATTATTCAAATTTGTTCCCATCTACACTATTGAAAATTATTCTCGATACCCTATTGTCTCGACTTCAGAGAAACTTGTCATTGGGGCTTCATTGTATCTCTTACAAAAAGTTCAAATCTTAAAGAAAAATATTAGGGTATTTGGTGTTCAAAAATAAGGATCTCAGTCCAAAATTATAGGCTCTAATTATCAGATTGTGCGCAAAGCTTTGTTTGTCTTTAAAGCTCAAATTCCTTTTACCTTGTAGCAATATCAAAAGCAAACTTATAAAATAATTTTCATACCACTTAAGTCATAATCAAAAATAACTTTTATACTACTTACACCATATACATTTTTCCTTCTTCTAAACCAAAAACACTTAATTTTTTTTTTACGTAATTGAAATCGTTTTGGTGTAACAAACTTTTGCATTTTGGTGTTTTGTGATTCATTTTGCAGCTACTTGTAACATAAGTTGCGACTGTATATTGAAACTTTGTCAATATTCGAGAGCTCTAACTAACTGGATGCGATAACTTAAGTTTTTAGTTGGGAGGACTTAAGTTTTTATTAAGAATTATTTTTCAAAAGGGCATTGTGCGCTTGCGATAATAATTAAAAAAAAATGAGCTTGAGATATCCGTACTAGAGTTCGAAATGTCTGGAGCGGAGCATCCAAAACGCAGATTACCCTTTTTAATGAAATTATTACAGAAACACTCATTAATCTTTTGGACGATCTTTCTAAAAGTTGAACAGCTCTCGAAATTTCTGTTTCAATATTGAGTCGTTATTTTTTTTATCATTAGTTAGACTTTCATCACGCGTTTAACTAGTCAGCACTTTTTTGTCAAAACGTTAATTTGAGAAGCATCTGTTTGTGTAACAAAAAAGTATGTAATATGTTAACGTTTGAAATTTAAGAAAATGTTTGTTTTACATTGCACATTTATTGTTTGAAAAATAATTTTGTTAGCTTCGAATTAAATTGAGGTTTTAGTAATTGAAACCATCTAAATGATCATGATAACTTATCATCTAATCTACACAATAATATTATTACAATCACCATCAAAACGTTGAAACTATTTTCTTTTATCACTTACTTTGACGGAATACATACAACCTGATATTCCATTCGATGACATTGTTGCAGGTAAATTCCGGAGGGAGTTCCACAGGTCTTACTTCAAATGCTTCTGCTGTTGCCACAGTGGTGCGGTTCCTGACCAGAATGGGACTTCCTTTGCTCCCATCGGCAGTTCCAGAGCCGGTACTACCAGAACCGTCGTCAGACGGAACGACTCCTGCGCTAGCTACAGACTCACGCACCTCTCCCCATCAAACCATAACAGCATCCACAGGGACTTCGGAAGGAACACCAACACTTCTTTCATCGAGCAAATCAATGGGAACCGACGACCGAAAATCAGGGACGACTCAATTAGCGAATCGGCAACACGATTCACACTCGCCACCGACGTCGGTAGAGATTGACAGTTGGGCAAAGATTTCTACGATATACGCAACAGATCTGACGGCATCGTAACATACATAGCTAAGAGCACCAATAGTATCGATTGTAAACCTTACTACGATTGCTTCAAGGGCGCCGGCAGTAGCGGCCACTGTGAATTCAACGATGTGCATGTCATTGACGAGAGATATAGTGACACTTGCACCGATTACAGAGAGAATGATACTGATTCTAAAGAACTGTTCTCCCTTAACGATGAAACTAAAAACAAATTCAGATTCAAATTCAATCGCAGTTTGAATAGCTGTCAGATTAAGAACAAAAGGAAAGTTAACACGGTGTATTGATAAGAATTTATGATGTAAAATATTTTTTTGATAATATCACTAAAGTTCGATTTCTATTAAGGTAGATCAAATAAATTGTGGAATGTAATGTCATTGTATAATATTGTTAGTATAAGATATGAAGTTGGATAAGTCATTGAAAACATGTTACATAATAAAAACGTATCATTAAATAAGATTTTGTTGCATTATTTGAAGAATCCTCGCTTTGTTCACTACTGAAATGAAATAAATTAAACGATATTTCTGATACAGTTACAAACTTTCATCAAAACTAATTATATTATCTAGTTATCTGAAGAGCTACAAAGAAAGATAGATAATATATTCCATATGAATAAAATAATTTTACACGAACTCTCATAAAGACATATTATAACGCTAATTATAAAAAAAACAAGCATCTACAAGTATATTCTTGGATTCATGTTGGCAGTAGGTATGTATTGTATTCCGATACATGTTTTTCAGGTGTTCCTGTGAAATTCCCTTGGAAATTCAAAATCTACATAAACGTACCAAATAAAAATATATTGCACATTTTCATTTTCATTTCTTGACTTCAAAAAGCAAAAAAAACACTTTTATTTAGTACAACGACATTATATTCCTGTAAAATCTTCTATAAAATAATGTCGAAATCCTTAAATTTACTAACATACATATTGACGGGAATTTACGAAATATATCTCAGCCATGACAAAAATAAAAGTTTTGCAATATCCTAAATTATTGAATAGGTCACATACACCTCAGTCTTTATTCCTTGACTAGTGGCCCGCCCGCGCTTCGCTTCAGTGTAGAGCTGTAGTTTAGACTATAGTTTTTGTTCTCAGGCTTGTATTATACACAATGACATTCTTCTAATACCTAATTACAATATAAGGCACGCGCCGCCAGGCGCCCCGCCCGGTAGCGTCGGAACCGCTATGTCCCTGTATTTTAAATCTGTAATATCTTCGTAAATATTCATTTAAATTATATGCGTTAAATAGCCAAATTGGTCTATATTAAATGCACAATGTATTTAAGGTACTTAATTGGATAAGGAAGAATGTTATATTGCTGAAAATCGCTTCGTAAATAATCTATTATTATTTGTTTCTTAGGTTTTCACGCACATCACTCATTAAATAAAACTAGTTTTTACGGGTTAATGCACGAAACTTTATTTATTTATTGACGTTTCGCAGCCTTTTCAGGTCTGCATCGTCAGAATAATGATTTTATTTAAAATTGTCGAGCTACCTTCGAAAGAATTATATTGTGCGTTCGGTTATTTCATTGGAAGATTTTTAAAATTTTATTGTCTATGTATGAATTTATTATTTAATTTACTTAATAAAGTATTTTATTTAAAATTCTTGTTTGTAATTTTGAGTTTATTTATTTGACCCTAACTACCGTAAACTACCACCGGTTCCAAAATTGGGAGACCTTCCTGAGAAGAACCGGCGAAACAAACTCAAGAAAGGCTTTCTATCTCCTTCTTATGTTAAATTATGCAAACAAAAAGAACTAATAGTATCTGATGGTCTTGCAGTGTGTGCTCGGGGTTGGGATTTTATCTCCTGTATAATAGGTTCCCAAGCTGGTGGTATATACCAACCATCTTCCCTATTGAAATTTGGATATTTTTTAATCTCAATAGCCTCGCGCATCATTCGAGGAACGAACCGCCGCTCAGCTGCAAGGATCTGTGGTCTATCAAATCTAATGTAGTGGTTTGGTCCCCCTAATGCATGTTCACACACTGCAGATTTATTTTCGCGCCTATGTTTCATATCTGCGATATGTTCTTTTACCCGAGTCCCTATACTCCTCTTTGTTTGCCCGATGTAGGAGAGCCCACAGTCGCATTCAAGTTTGTAGACACCAGCAACTTGAAAGGGTATATTGCACTTGACCGGTCGTAGAAACTGGTTGATCTTCTTAGGCGGCTTGAAGTATGTATTGATTGAAGCACGCTTCAGAATCCTCCCAATCTTGTCAGTGACTCCTTTCATGTAAGGTAGTATAGCTGTGACGGCGACGTGGTACATTCAGGTTATTATCCTTCAGTACTTGCTCGACATGCTGAAGTTCAGCTGCCAGGTGTTGTTCGTCACAGACACTCCGTGCTCTCTGAAACAAAGAGTTTCCTACGGCAGTTAATTGTTTCGGGTGATGGTGTGAGTCATACTGATAGGTACCTCAATGGTGACTCACACCATCACCCGAAACAATTAACTGCCGAAGGAAACTCTTTATTTCAGAGAGCACGGGGTGTCTGTGACGAACAACACCTGGCAGCTGAACTTCAGCATGTCGAGCAAGTACTGAAGGATAATAACCTGAATGTACCACGTCGCCGTCACAGTCGCGCCAAACCTAGCACAGTCGACCGACAAGCTGCTATACTACCTTACATGAAAGGAGTCACTGACAAGATTGGGAGGATTCTGAAGCGTGCTTCAATCAATACATACTTCAAGCCGCCTAAGAAGATCAACCAGTTTCTACGACCGGTCAAGTGCAATATACCCTTTCAAGTTGCTGGTGTCTACAAACTTGAATGCGACTGTGGGCTCTCCTACATCGGGCAAACAAAGAGGAGTATAGGGACTCGGGTAAAAGAACATATCGCAGATATGAAACATAGGCGCGAAAATAAATCTGCAGTGTGTGAACATGCATTAGGGGGACCAAACCACTACATTAGATTTGATAGACCACAGATCCTTGCAGCTGAGCGGCGGTTCGTTCCTCGAATGATGCGCGAGGCTATTGAGATTAAAAAATATCCAAATTTCAATAGGGAAGATGGTTGGTATATACCACCAGCTTGGGAACCTATTATACAGGAGATAAAATCCCAACTCCGAGCACACACTGCAAGACCATCAGATACTATTAGTTCTTTTTGTTTGCATAATTTAACATAAGAAGGAGATAGAAAGCCTCTCTTGAGTTTGTTTCGCCGGTTCTTCTCAGGAAGGTCTCCCAATTTTGGAACCGGTGGTAGTTTACGGTAGTTAGGGTCAAATAAATAAACTCAAAATTACAAACAAGAATTTTAAATAAAATACTTTTAATTTTAAAAATCTTCCAATGAAATAACCGAACGCACAATATAATTCTTTCGAAGGTAGCTCGTCAATTTTAAATAAAATCATTATTCTGACGATGCAGACCTAAAAAGGCTGCGAAACGTCAATAAATAAATAAAGTTTCGTGCATTAACCCGTAAAAACTAGTTTTATTTAATCTATTATTTCTCGTAAAAAGTATAGGATATAAAATGGTTATTGTGGGTTATCCCTAAGACATAGACAGATACCATGGCGGACTTTTTTGTAGACATTTTTAAGGTATACAATAATGTAGTACATTATTTTGATCGATCTTGTAGGGTTCAGCCAGCGTTTGCAATGTAAGCGTAAAAAAATGTGTTTATTTACGACCTTACATTAAAAACCTCTAAAATTATCAGTGTTTCCAACCATTACACAAAAATAATCCTTATAGCATGATTCAGACCAATAAGCCTAACCTCTTTTCTCTTAAAAACATTGGAAAGACTGGTAGACCGCCACCTTAGGGATGGAGCACTAAGTAAGGCTCCGCTGCACCCTCAACAACATGCCTACAGAAAAGGCAGATCAACAGAGTCGGCACTGCACTCAGTAGTCCACAAAATAGAGTCGGCAATCACAAATAAAACCTCAACACTGGCAGCCTTCATAGACATAGAAGGTGCTTTTGACAAAACGATGCACAATAGCATTAACCACGCCCTAAGAAAACTCAAGGTGGACCAAATCACCAGAGGTTGGATAACCGAACAGATAGTGGGGAACGCTACCACGCGTGCGAAGGCAGTTAGAGGATGTCCCCAAGGGGGATTCCTATCACCACTTCTCTGGAACATAGTAGTGGACAGTCTCCTACGAAGTCTGAATGACAGAGGATACACTACTATTGGTTATGCGGACGACGTAACAATTCTGATAAGTGGGAACGCTGAAAATGTACTTTGCAAGGTTATGCGTTCAGCCCTTCAGATTGTGGAAAAATGGTGTGACGAACATCACTTGTCAGTAAACCCGAACAAGACAGAACTATTCCTTAACACCAACAAAAGGAAGCTACCTGAACTACAGTTACCAAAACTGTTTAATACCAAACTCTCCCTATCAACACAAGTGAAATATCTAGGCGTTATCCTGGATAACAAACTGAATTGGGCGAGTCATATTGATATAAAAACAAAGAAGGCCTGCATAGCTTTTAATCAGTGTAGAAGACTAGTTGGTAAAAAGTGGGGTCTAAGTCCGAAGATCACCCTTTGGTTATACACAGCAGTCATAAGGCCATCTATAACCTATGGTTCAGTTGTTTGGTGGTCCAGGACCCAACTGATCACAGTGAAATCCAAACTCCAAAGTCTACAACGCTTGGCGAGCGTAGCAGCAACTGTATGCATAAAAACAACTCCATCGGCTGAATTAGAGTACCTCATGAATTTAAGATCTTTGGACCTGGTCATAGAAGAAGAGGCGAAAGCAGCAGCCTTGAGACTGAAATCTCTAGGATTATGGAGATTGAATACTGTAACAACACACTCTAACATTCTACAAAAGTGCACGAAGGAGATCCCACTCCTCTCCTCCTCTCAACCTATGGATAGAATATTGAGTCAACACGTCTTTGATCGAAAATACAACATCCAACTTACCGCGGAAAAGGCAGATTACTCTGGCGCCGGGGAAGTTAGGATATACACGGATGGCTCCAAAATCAACAGTGGCACTGGAGCCGGTGTCTTCTCAAACGACCTGAATATGAAAATATCTACAACCTTAGGCAAACAAAGCACAATCTTCTAGGCGGAATGTATTGGCATTACCAGAGCAGCACAGGCGGTTGCAGCCAGAGATATCAGAGAGTATAACATCAAGATCATCTCTGACAGTGCATCCGTGCTTCAAGGCCTATGTAGCAACACAACAAACTCTGTCCTAGTAATGGAGTACCACAAGGCACGTCAATCCATTGCGGTTAGCAACACGGTAACTCTGCAATGGATAAAAGGACACAGCAGCTCAATTGGAAATGACGCAGCAGACGAACTGGCTAAGAGGGGAGCAGACACAAAAGTGTATGGTCCGGAACCTTTGCTGGCCATACCTCAGGCCC